AAAACAAATAAGACGCGCGCATAAGATCAAAAGAATATCGCCGGCTTTCAACAGGCGCGCTCGATTGGAAATTGAATATCGCGAAAAGCTTTTCTTTGTCGAGATGCTTCATCTGTTAAGACCTACGGTGGAATTGGAAACGGCGCAATAATATGCATGTTTGTGTATAGAGCTTGTGTTATTTTGAAGAGAGATTTTGCTGGAAAATAAACGTTTATTTGTTGTTAGTTTCGTGGAACTGAATTATTACATCATCACAGACGGAATGTTAACTTAAATCAAAGATAATACTAAAGTGGGAAATCCGCAATTGGTATCACAAACTGACGTTTCAATTTTCAATAGATATTAAAATTCAACTTTTAAATTATGTATATGTATTTGTGTAAGACCTAATATGTTAAATTAGTTTGTATGTAGAATATAGAAACACTTTCATATTTTTCAAGATTCATTGTTCCTCAAAGTTATTATTCAAAGATGACAGCTTCATACAGTAAAAAAATATTGATAAATAAAATTTTTAATTTATAAAGTTAATTATTGTAGTACTCAAGGCCTTCAAAGATACACATAATATATAATCGAAATAGTTTGATTATACGTTTTTAATTTTAATAACATTTATAAGCATTATACCGATAAACATGTAATATTCAGAATAAAAATAAAATTTTAAAAAAAATATTAATAATACAATTACTCAATATATACAATATTAAATAAATATAATGTTTGTAATAAAGTATTCTTTATAGATAAACACTAAATAATTTTTAACAGATTTTTGTAAAATATTTAAAACAAAAAATAACTTCAGCAAAAATTTGGACAAGGATTCCAGGGGGAAAAAATTCAATGAGCAACATGGAGGTGCGCAAAACAAATGATAAATGACGCCGTCGGAGAGGAAACTGCTCAAGCAGGAGGCACACGTGGAAAAGATCAAGGTGTTTATAGCAGTGGCGAGTTAGTTCGCCGGCAACTAATGACAAAATAGCCCGCGGGAGCGTCGAAAGAGCGGGTTTTGCAACTCGCAGGGAGCGCGCAAAGGGAAGAAAGGAACAAGAAGTTGGTCCGCAGGCGGCGGAAAACGTGAGTTGGCGAACTTTGCTACAAGCTGATTAGCTCATCCTTGGGAAGCTGCTTTTATTACTACACGAGAAAGAAAGGGAGGCCGATAAAAATCGCCATCTCACCGCGTAGTGGCAAGTGGATTTTTTTTACGATCATCTTTAATCCATCTGCCACGGCGAAGAGCAAGAAGAAGTTTCGCGGCTGGGGATCAAAATCCATTTGGCTGTGTGCGGACGACTCTTTTTTCCTCCCAGGAGGTGCATCATGTCAAATCAGGGCCGCGGCCACAATATATCTCTTGATTGCCTGTTGCGAGCAAAAGGTCCCCGACCGACCGACCACCCTAGATTGATATTGCTCGGCAATTTCGTTCGACCGCACGCACTCCCGATTAACCATCAGAATCGTGACGTTGAGATGAAAAATTTCTTTACTACCCATCATGCCGATGGTCGAACGGCAGATGAAATTTACTCAGCTGATGAGAAAATGCCTTCGAAAAGCCGCACAACGTGTCCCCAGAGACGAACCCTTACAAAATGTATCTGCGATTTAAATTTCCGACTCCCACTCAACCTGATTGCAAAGAAATTGCCCTCTGACAGGAAAGAATTCTTCTTTTTCCTTTCTCTGCCTCTTTTTGTATCAATCTATACGATTCTTCGCGCTGTTAACTGACATCCAATTATATGAGAGAATGCAATCGAGCGAACCGAGATCAAACAAAAGACTTTTCGCCCGCACCAAAAAGCTCCTCCTTGTCATTAAATTTCGCACAGCCCGACGCTTTTTGCGCCGTGCTGCTTTTTCGTTCCAATTACTCATTAGAGGCCACGACAAAAGTCGTTAAAATTCAGCAGAGGTCCGCCTTGCAACGTGTACAAAAAGCATAGGTGACTTTGCTTTTTTTTTCGAGAACTTCTTTCAAAACCGGAACCAACTTTTTGAATGGGACCCCCTGTAGAGTTCTTCTTAAAGGCGGCGAGTTTTGCGAAATTCTTTCAAGAAGCTCATTAATTTTGTGCCAAGGAAACTTCCAAGAAAAAAGTGGAACGAACGAATCTTGTTTTATCGTAATGAACAAATTAATAATCCAGCTTTCGTAATTGGAAATCGATATGAGATATTTCGAGATTAAGCGAAATGACACGACCCATTTTCTCTTGCTATATAATTTATTATATCTTTTAATGAATGTGACTGGAGATAATTCTCAAGATCGTAGAGTATGGGTGCTTGACAACAGTCGTTATCCAACGACCTTTTTTAATTAAACAAACTCCTCGTTATAAAGCACGAATGTAATAAAAAAAATATTTGATTTCTTTCTGAAAAAGTTAACTTCAACGCAAAAAAATCATTAATTCATTTCTAATTTCATTAAAAAATGTCGGTGTTGTTCAAGGAGAAAATGCCAGAGGCACGCCTAAACTGATCACTCTTGTTTCCAATTTGAATTGTAACACAATTTTTTTACCTTCTTTTCAACGCCATATGCCAAAGGTAGGATGCAGAACTGACACCAACTTTGTCATTAACTAACATTTAAACTAGGCAAAGTTAATAAGTAAGTACTTGTAAACTTCATATTTTACTCGAGCCTGTTTAATCTTCTACGGTGAGCCTCAACTTTTGAGTGCTTTCTCGACCATAAAAATTGATAATGAGAAAGTTTTGATTTTGCCAGTGATGGAGCCAGAAAGTGCCTCTTCAGTTTTTTAATATGCAGCGTTTTTGCGAGAACTTTTAAGTCTATTAGCATCTTTCTTCGCCAAAATTAAAGTGGCACTCGCGCGATGCTTGCCATAGTCATTATATGCAAATTCTTTCGAAACCACCGCATTAGCCAGGCTGGCGGCGAGCAATTTATCATAATTTTGTAAGCACCGAGCAAACAATATCCATTAAAATGAGAAACAGAATGCCAAGACTTTGCAACTTGCTGCTTTGATGCAAATTGGATTATTCTTTGCACACAAAATACCCTCGGTCGAGTCCTTTGTCATGGAAATATGGATTTCGAGCAAACAATTTGCAAGGTCAGCGGTTTCCGCTTGTATTCGCTTTTGTCAGAAAGGCAAATTACTGGCATAAATTCTTTAGAGAAACCTTCCATTAATATGCAAGAAAATATATGTTCAAAGGGATTTTGTTTGCGTTTCAAAACGAATGATACAAAAATTTGCATGAAATGAAATATAAAAACGATTTGAAACATAAAAAACATCAAAAAAGAATAATAATAATAACTATTATTAATTATAGAATTATGTACTATACAAGACAAAACAAACGAATTGAATACACACAAAAAATATTGCGCATTTTAGAAAAATTTTCTTCTCCCTTCCATCCGTGATTATGTTTAATATTGTCTCATATTGTCTGAAGATCAATACTAGTATTTTCCACCAAAACTTATTAAAGCAGTTAATTTATTTGTTGTAGCTATATTTTAATAATTAAAAATGCGTGAGAGTGTTTAAAAGTAGCTTTTCAAATCTCTAGCTTTGTTTAAATTCAAAGTAAGGTTTAGCCCATGCATAATTCCAGCCTTCCAGTTCAGCGAGGGCTTTTTGTTCTCAAGAGATGAAATACCAAGAAGCAAACCTCACTCTTCATTAAATTGTAATCCCGGTTGGAGTAATTCTGACGCTGGACGGGCTGCACAAGTTCTTGTTTTCAGCTATGAAACCGTCTCGGAGCAAAACCAACTTGCACCTTCTCCGACCAAAGGAATATATTAAAGTCAAGAACTTTGGCTCTGAATTTACGATTTGCCCCTGTGAGCGCTTTTAATTGTTAACAAGCTTGCGCAGAGCAGAAATGCTGATTAAAAAGTGACTTTTGTGGGAAAAGCGTTTTTCGCTTGCTTGAAAGCTGCAAATTAAAAATCGAGATTCGCGGCTGGCGGCGCGAGTAATGACGACGTCTTTCGCAGATCAATTCCAGTCTCGCCAAGAGAAAGAAAGAAAGTAAATTGCTCTCTCGACGGACGAAAAATGAAGTGGTTTGTTTGTTTTGCGGGCAGAAAGCGTCGTGGATTAAAAGCGGGCCTGGGCAAATTTGCCTTTTCGTCTGCATGTGAGGGGTTTGTTGCGAGCAAATTTATTCAAGTGGTTGTTTAATCAAGGCTAATAATAATATACAGAAACGGAGCATGCATATTCAACGTCGGCTTGGCAAATAATTCTCGCCGCTTGTTCGCCGCTCTAATTGGATTTGGGTGCGAGGCGCGCTGTTTCGTATCATCCGTCGCGCTCTCCCAGCAGCAAACCCTTGTAACTATGCGGCGCAAGAACTCAATCTCTCAGCGTGGAGTGGAATGCGACCCATCCATCCATCTCTTGGATTTATCTCTCGGGCCGCCTCTTGATTATTCTGACCTTACGAACTTTTTTTGCGCGTTTTCTAACTTGATAAGTCACGCGTACACTCCAGCCAGAGTCGGCGCGTGCGAGAATCTCAGCTCTCCATTCAGAAGCACTCGACCTTCCAGCCTTCATTTGCATCTTTCTTTCAGCGTTGATATTTCAATTCAAGTTTTCCTCTTATTTTTTTTTATAATTAAGAGAATAATTTAGACGTAAATCTCAAGAACCGGAGAAAATAATTTTTTTCAAAGCAACAGCCGTAATCACAAAATAAACATTTTGAAATAATTTAATTATTGTTTCAATTCAATTATATTTGTAATCATCCTAATTGACATAGTCAAATAAGCCTTACATTATTATTTTATTTTTCATTTATCCTTATTAAAAAATTTAAATTTGGAGATAACAAATTTGTTTCATTATTTATTGCATGAGGAAAATTTGCTTTTTATTTCCGTCAGCAAAAAGTAAGGCTTAATGATAAGATTTGCTCACTGTCAGAAGTCACTTTTTTAGGTTCAACGGTCAGATTTTATTTAGTTGGATTTATCACGCGTTAAGTCGCAGTTTGTTATTGACGCTGGTGAAATGACCAAGCAAATGTTTCCTCCTTTGCTGGTACTCATTCTAATGCTAATTGTGAACTCCAAATGTGAGCAGCAAATTGAGCAACAAGTCCAATTCCATGACATCGATAAAGATGAGAAGGTAAAATATTTGATATGGAATACTTAAAATATAACCGTCTAAATGCCCATTTAGGCTCCCTGCAAGCCCAGCGTGTCTTTTGAAGAGTAAGTTACTTTTAACAACAAAAACTTTTTAATGTGTACTTACTGAAAATCAGTTTCTCGAGTCTGGAGAAAACTTTATGTGACAAACGGGTTGAGTTGGCGGAGGAAAAGCTGAAAAGTATGACGGCGCAATTGAATTTGCAAAAGATGTACTGGGAGAGCCACTGGAAGACCGTGAAAGAAAGCGGTGAACTCAAGTTGGCCAAGTGCGAGGAGCAAAAGGTTTGTCTGCAAGTCAACAAAGGGCTGCATGATCAGATGTGCGACTATAGGTAATTCAGACCTCCCAAAGTTTTTAAACGTGTGTCTGATTGCAGAAAATTTTTAATAGGATTCAGCTGGCCCAAAATTCTCAGGATCAATGTAATTGCAGTGGTGTGGAAAATGCCATTGAAAAATTAAAAAGGAGTATGTCTTGCTCGATTATCCATATTTCAAAATGATAAATTATAATAATTATTGATGTCCTGATTTTTAAATAATTATTATGGCTTTATTTTAATTATCAAAAATTGCTATTTACACAATATTATTAGCTATTGAACAATTTTCTATTAACTTTTTCATATTTTTAATAATAAGAAAAAAGCCGACAAATCAAATTAATTTCTTTTTACCTTTTTTCGATTTTATGCCAGCTTTATTTTATGCATGTGATGTTAACGATAAATTTGAAAATATTTACGTCCCGCAGAAATAAATCCTGGCACTCCTGACCTCTCAGAAAAGCTTGTGTCGCTTTACACAGGACGGAAATACTTCATTAGCACCGAGAAGGTGATTATTTTTTGGTGCCATGATACAATTATTAAAAGAATAAAAAATTTACTTTAGCTGAATTGGTACAAGGCCTTCCAGCGGTGCAAGGCAAGTGGCCTGGAACTGGTGAGCATCGAGAGCAAGTTGGAGAATGACGAGCTAAAGAGGCTCGTTGGTAATTTTAATCCATCGACAAAATTAACTGAAAGTGTAAAATATTTTTTTCTTTCAGACAACACCAAGGAGCATTACTGGATTTCGGCCACTGACCTGGGCTCGGAGGGAAAATTCTATTGGGCGGGCACGGGCCAACCTTTCGGGGCGTTCAACGACTTTCCCGCTGGCCAACCCAACAATGCCGGCAACAATGAGCACTGCATCCACTTGCACCACTCGTGGGGTGGCGAGAATACGTTTGCTTGGAATGACATTAATTGCGAGACCCAACATTTCAGGTTTATCTGTGAGCTTGAAGAATAAGATATTATTACTGTCAAATGTTCTTTCCTTAATTTGTTAATAAAATTAATTATTAACTAAATAATATTACACTTACGTATGTAGTTTTAATATTATGTAGCCTAAGCTTAGTTACAAAAGTTGTTAAAGTGAACAATTAATAATTTGAGATATAACTTATCTGGTTTTCATAATATACAGTCTTGTATTAATGTAAATTAATTAAATTATTTACTAAATTATTAGGAGTTAATTGCATAATTCTTCAAACTTTAGAAATTCCCTCTCTTCCAAATATAATTAAAAAGTAAACTATGCTAATTTTCATTAACGATCTTTTAGCTTTTGATTTAATAGGAGAATATAATTAATTTAGCACAGATGGATGGAGTTTAATTAACCGCGAATGATCCAGCTGCTCAAGTGACAAATACAGTAACCGTGACTGCAACTTAATATTCGGGTGACAATTCAGAGAATTGGATCTGAATTCAATCTGCAGCTTCGCCATTTTCATTACCAACACAACGGCTGTAAACTTGTAAAGCGCGCCAAGTGGCGTCTCTCGCTTCGAGCGCAGACTTAATTCGCAGAGTGCCATCTTTCTCGCAAATTAACTAATATCAAGGCACTCAAGACCGACGACGCTTCACCATCAAAGTGATTTAAATCCGTTATTGTCGACGCTAATTAAACGCAGCCGGCGCGCAATACAATTTTCTCCTTCTTCCAAGACGTAAAAATTTAATTAACTCGTGTTTCGCAGAGTTCTTTTTTCTTTTACTGCTCTCACAGAGGCGAGAAAGGAAGCAAACACTGCGTTGAGAAAATATTGACTTAACAGTACAACGCTGATTTTCTGTATTAATTCAAAGATTTCCGGCCTGAGGCAATTTTTCCCTCTGGTGCAGAAGGTAATTAGTTACTTTACAAGGATCGGCTCATCTCTCCTTGATGTTTCAAGAGATATCTTTGAGGCACCGACAGGAATAATTATTTCCCGGACCGCACAAAAAGATCTATTGGGGCTTCCGAGAGCAAAAAAGGCTCGCTTAGGCAGAAACGCTTGTGCCTGAAAGAGGGATCGAATTCCGTCCGCGCCTTGCCTTTCACGAGTATATCGCCCGAAAATTCTCTCTACTGATCGCGAAACTCGAACTCCAGGCATAAAGAGGCGCACACAATGGGACCAACTTGAGTATTAAACCAGCGATCGAGGCGTCGGCTGGCTAATTTATGAAATTCGGCCCAGGTGAGAGCCTCGGGCGATTTATCGATTTGCAGAGAACAACGCGGCCCAGACACGTTGGCAGGAACAATGGCCACGCGCCCTGGGATATTAGGCGGGAAATAAACTAGATCCCTCATTGCTCCCTCCTTTCTTTCTGAGCGAGGGCAGTTTCCTTTTTTGTCGGCAACCTGCCTCGCCGCTGATAAGAGAGGAAAATAAGCCAGAGCCAAGATAAATGTGAGAGAGTTGGTCGAACATGCAGCCGGATGAAAGTACGAAAAAGTTGCTGTAATTGTATTTCGCCCAACTTGCTACTTTTTTTGGATTGAGCCCTTTTTGCATCAGGCTGGGAATATTACAACGCGCCGGAGCTCTGCAGATGAAGCCAGCGTGCAAATATTTATTTACATGATTGAAAAAGTTTCTGCCTTTCAACATCTCACTCACAGGCCATTGTTTTAATGTCATGTCTCAGCTATAGACTCTATCAATCTAAAAAAGGTACTTCAATTAAATTCAACAATTTATTTAAAAAAACTAGTGAATTGTAAAATTGTGGAAAAATAAACAACAATAACAAAATTACTTTTTAGAACTTTCTTCAAATTATTTGAATGGAAAAATTATCATTATTTTGAATAGTGAAGTAGTAAAAAATTTAGAATACATTATCTTATAATTAAAGAAAGTTGCAGGTACAAATTAATGTAAACATAGATTCTGGCTGATGTAATTATTATTGACCAATTTTTAATTTTTTAACATCTCAAAATCAAACAATGGAAGTTCTAACTGGTAGAAATTTACCATGTTCAATCCGGTTCAAACCTCACTTTGATAATTAAGAATATATAAATAATTAAAGAAGCGTTATTCATTAAAAAAATTAATCATTTGTTAACTTTAAAAGGAAAAAAACTAAAATTTAATTATTAATACTTAATTTTTTGTACATTTTCAATAAAGAATTGTATCAATTGCATTTATTTGATAATTTCTTTTTTCAAAAATCATTAGTTTAGATCAACTTAATAATAAATTAGAAAAAAGTTACAATATCAAAAAAATTTTAAACACTGCTTTAAATACATATTACTAAGCATTTCATGACTTTAGGAACCAAAAGCATCACGCATTTCAAATTTCTATTTATCAACAGCTAGTTTCAAACCGAGTTTATATATAATGCGTTTTGAAATTTCCTCTCTATGTTTTGAGCTTGCAATTTTTGCCATGAATCACTTTTCTGCGAGTCAAACGTGGCTTCAAAAGTTTTCAGCGCGGTTCGGCTTCCCAACACGAGCAACACTGGCAGAGGCGACACACAAGGGTGTCGCTGCGTCTATTTGGCTGTTGTACACACAAACACGAGCGTCAAGCTAGGGATATTGCCTCTGAAACCCAATGTGCAAATGCTTATGCAAATAAATACATCGGTCGGTACATGTGTTTGCATATATAACGCGCACCTGTACACTCATTAATGCAGATTTCGCAACCGAGTTGCTCTCAAGGCAACTGTGATTGGACGAGCGCAGCGAGTGCGTAATGAATTATAACGCTCATTACGCGAGTGCCTTGTCGCTGAGTCTGTTTCGTGTTTGCCTAACGAGACCGTACACACGGTACAATTGGAACGCTTAATTGAGGAAAATCGACTCTGAATACGCAAGCTAATTTGCATATTAACTCTGAATAACAGAGGAACTAATGATGCTTTTGATTTTATTTCCTTTTCACGTCAAATCTTATTTCAGGGCTTAAACTGCAGACTTTTCAAAACAACAAGACAATTATTTTTAATATATTATTTGGTGGTATTTTACATCATTAAGAAGAAAAAGTACTGAACATAAGCAAAAATTTGCTTTCCTGTGAAATTGAACCAACATTTAAACATTATTATATGAAACAAGCAAATTATTGCAAAAGTGACAAATATAAAGGACAAAGAAAATCTTTCGAATGGAGAGTAAATCCTTCTCCTTTAAATATTGTTCACGCCCTGGGTAAAATGTTTTTGATCTCTCAAATGGAAAACATTTTGCTGTGTGTTTTTGAAATAAACAATCAACGCAGCAAGAAAGGGCGCTGAGGACAAAAAAGCGTTTTATCCTTCAGAATGAAAGCTTGGCAGCGCCAGATGTTCTAATTTGCATCACTGCTGGAGGTTTAATTAAAAAGTTCAGAGTTATCCGGTGGGTTGCTTGGGCAGGTGAGGAGAGTTTGTGTGCAGCCGAGGGTGAAAATTGAGTTTTTGATTAGGTGCCATCAGCTGGTATCACGGATCAATCCACTGGTTCCTCGTTCCTCCATAACCCAGGATTATTGATTTTCCTTAAAAAAAAACCCGCTAATATATAATTTTTTTTTAACCACATCTTTCTTCTAATAACATTATTTCCAAGACACGACGAGAATATATTTGCGAGAGATTTTTTGAGCTCAAAAATCAACATCAATTTGTAATATTTTTGCTTTTTTGCAGAAAATTGGAATTTAATTTTTTTTCCTTTTTTGCAATTTTTTTATGGTCACCTGTCTCTTTTCCAACATTGCTGGAAACTAATCAAACTGTATTGTGGAGGAATCCCTCATATTCCATTGAACTCTGAGTGAGTTTCCGAATTGCAATCTGCTTAACCAGGGCAAAAATTCCCTGCGGAGATTTAACTGCGAATATGTCTGCATCTGAACACACCGTGATTGAAGCGTTCGCTCGCATGTTTTCTCTAGAGAGAAAGCCAGGCCACGCATACATAGGTATACAACAGAGCCAATTCGTCCGTCCGCTGCTTATCAGTGCGCGTGGGGGTTTGTTTGCCCTCGCACCGGCATAAATTAAACCCGACTGATTTGCATGGACAATGAATCAGATAGAATCGAGGCCATGCGGGGGTCATCGCGGAATGCGAATTTGAAAAGTCCTTGTTTATTTAAACACTTTGGCTAGGTGAAGGATGGGGAACGGCATCAAAGCAATACAAATAAATGGTGAACACGGCCGGCGCGTTGAAGTAGGGTATGCAACCCGATGGACTTGTCGGTCACACGTGCTGCATAATCGCTGCTCATCAGGCGACCCGGTCGTGCAGATAAGTTAATTTTTGGTGTTTATTAACGGCCTAATTAATTCGCTATGCATTAAAATTCAGTGGATTAATCTGCAAAATGGATAATTTAAGTCACTTTGAATAATAAAATGTTCTAGTTGCTTTAAATTGACCTAAATTTGGTATAAAATTAAGATGGAACTGGTTCGGGAAAATTAATTAAATTTTTTAAAAGCTTCTACAGATTACAAAGTCGCAGAGCGTTAGTGTTTACATTTAAGACTTTTTCCTTTGAGAATTATTCAGTTTTTAATTTATGAAAATCTGTTAAAAAAGCACTCAAGAAAAAATGTTATGCACTAACGTAAGAAAAGCTCCCCCAGGAAAAAAACACAACGATGTGATGGACCCTCTTCTTCATCCTGCTTTCGCGTCCCTCGCGGAAACTGTTGCCAGTGGCCACAAAGAATTCAATTCTGTCCCCTGCGAGAGGGGTGCGTATATTTCATCTCCAAGTGGAAATGTCACCGGGATTGCCACCGGCGTGTGTCGCAAGGGCTGGGGGTTTTCATTTCAGTGGCTTGTTCATACGTCGCTTGCTATTTGCCGGCACCCATCACTCGCTAATGGTTACCGCGGCCTTTCATTTCCTCCTCTCACCTGCTGTTCATTTCGTTACCTGTTCCCATGAAGCTGTCTTGGGAAAAGTTCCGGCTATGCAATTTGGAGAGGAAGCGACGTTGATTTAGTTGCAAAATAGTAGTTCAGTTATTTACAAACTGAGGAAAAGAAATAATTTGTTCATTTAATAAAT